ATGTTTTTAGCACTTCTATTGACGGTGTGATAATAGTTGAAATCGGGTGGCAACTCCGCCCACTCCCCATATAACGGTACTGTTAAAAACTACTAAAAGCGCGATAAATCAAGCACTAAACACGCCAGAGACATTAAATTTTATCTCTGAGATGGTATGAGATGACTTTATAGGAACCACGTTCAAAATTAGATAGTGGGTAGGAGATAGGTGAAAACCCATATCTGGTTTTTAAATGTACGAAATCGGATTACAACCACGCCTATTTTCCGTATAACACCATTTTAAATTTTATCTGATTTTTTCACTTTCTACTATGCAAATTAAGCAAAAATGATTATATCTTGTGTGAATTATACGTTTAAAGTATGCCACTTTGTGACCAAAAATTGTCTAAATCGAACCAAAACTGTTCAAACCCCTAGGTACTAAATATGTGGACCCCAGTGCCCATAGTTGACCTTTTACCAAAAATATCAGTCAATCCACAAAGAAATCTCAAACGAGTATACTATTTGACTTTGCGAGAGTATAAAATGTTCGGTTACATCCGAACTTAGCCCTTCCTTACTTGTTAGTTTTTAACCTTTTTTTATTTAAACTATCAAAACACTTCGACCTACAACATTCGTGCATGTATTTTATTACAGCCCACTTTTAGGTGAAAACCCATATCTTGAGATCTGTTCAACCGATTTCAACCAAATTCGGTGCATAACGTTCTTTTTATGTTTCTATGTCATAGTGCGAAAATGGGCGAAATCGGACTACAACCACGCCTATTGCCCATATAACACCATTTTAAATTCCATCTGATTCTTTCACTTTCCACTATGCAAATCAGGCAACAATGACTGTATCGGGATAAAACTTTGCGTGAATAATGCGATTAAAGTATGCCACCTTGTGACCAAAAGTTGTCAAAATCGAACCAAAACTGTTTAAGCCCCTAAGTACTAAATATGTGGACCCCATTGCTTATAGTTGACCTTCTACCGAAAATATCAGTCAATCCACAAAGAAATCTTAAACGAGTATACTATTTGACTTTGCGAGAGTATAAAATGTTCGGTTACATCCGAACTTAGCCCTTCCTTACTTGTTTTGTTGAGTGTTATGCATTCAAGATGCAGGTGCTGCGGAGTTTCCGCTTCCATGTCGCACAAGCGCAATTCTCTGAACGAACTATATCCACGATATATAGATGCTCTGAGGTCTGCAGTGGTCTGTATATAGTGCCACAAGTAAGCTAGTTTTGTCCCTTTAGGTGTTAATAAGTTCTTCAAACATATCATGCATATCAAATTGATATAATTTCAAAGGTAACGACTTTTTCTGAAAAATCCATACACTAACTGACTTGCCTAAACAAAAGCGGCAGCAACATTTTGTAAGTATCAATTTAATTCATTTTGCATTTAATTTCGTTTTGTACTCATTTCAGCACTCAAGCCAGAACTTGAGGTAAAACTGCCACTTCATTTAGGTCTGCCAGTAAGTCGGCGCTTGATGTCATTATCATTTCGTAACCAAATTGGTCTTTGATTGACTTGAAATTGCAATTAATTAAGGATATAGCAAAACTATTACTCTGAAGTGCAGCCTCCTTAGGAAAGATTCAAGACTTTAGTTCACTGACCCTGCGCTAGGTAATAGTTAAGGAACGCCTGGCTCTATTATCAAATTGTCGGGATGATGCGTTTAATCTTGTCCCAATATCAACAGATAGATATTGGGTCGGAGTACTATTGCCATCTGATTTAATACTGTACTATTTGATCTCGTGTGTGGAATTTGAACACATATTAACCGTAAATATTTCAATATTATTTGAAGCAGCTTCTTGCTCAAGGTAAATCACAAGAGGTATAGAGGGATTCTTGCCTTCTGTAAGACTAACCGTTCTCTAGTTCCAGGCTAAATAAAAACCGATTGCTTCAGCATGCGATTTAAAGACATTTGCTAGATTAGGTTTATCTACTCACTTAAAAATGCAGATTAACTGTACGACTTTTTGTATAAGGGCTGCTGATGTTATCAATTTGACTTGCAATTACAC